AAGATCAAAATTATCTCACACTTTTATAATCAAACTTTTGCAAGAACTTTCACCATAACATATGTTATGTTGATCAAAAAACCACAAACAATTTTTAAATATGGAAAACACTTTAAATGAAAATAAGCATAATGATGATACTTTTATTGATAAAAATGATGATGAATATTCAAATGAAAGAAACAAAGGATATGAGGAATGTCTAACCTGCAATAGATATAATTAACTGAAGGATGGACTAGCGGCAATAGAATATTAGATGAGTTGATTAAAAGTACACAACTTAAGGCAACAAAATATAGTAATTATTATCATCTTCAATGGATTTCTTATAATGATTTAACAAATATTGAAATGATAGGTGAAGGTGGTTTTGCAACTATATACAAAGCTACTTGGTTAAATGGTGATAAAATTGTAAATTATGAAAATAATGAAAGAACTAGTAAAGATAGGATTGTGGCATTAAAAAAACTGCACAATTCACAGAATATTTCTGATGAATTTCTTAATGAGGTAAATTATTTTATTAATATTAGTTTCAGATTTTTTAAAATATTATTGTTGCAATTAAATATTTTATTTGTTATTTTAGTTTAAAAATTATATGAAGTTTATGATAAAGTAGATGTAATTCATGTTTATGGATTAACACAAGATCCAATTACAAAAGAATATGCATTTGTAATGGATTATAAAAATGATGGAAATCTTCAAGAATTTAAAATGGAATAACAAAATTAGCATTCTTAAACAAATTATTATGGGGTTAAAAGGTATTCACAAAGAAATTATTCATCATGATCTTCATAGTGGTAATATTCTTCAATCTAAAAAATATATGCAGTCACATATTACGGATTTAGGATTATCATGTCCAGCTAGTCAAACATCTGCATCAAACAAAAATGATATATTTGGAGTATTACCATATGTTGCACCAGAAGTTTTAAGGGAGAAACCATATACAATGGCATCAGATATTATACAGTTTTGGAGTTCTGTTATCTGTAATGTCAACTGGACAACAACCTTTTAATAATTTGGCACATGATGTAGATCTTGCAATAAAAATATGTGGAGGTGTAAGACCTGGATTTTCAAACAACACACCAAAATTTTATATTGAACTAGCATTTAGATGCATGGATGCTAATCCAGATAAACGTCCAACTGCTGAAGAAATTCATAAAATTATTTATCTTTGGAATAAATCATTTGATTATGATATAATAAATGATCCTGAAAATTATGAATATTCAGAAGATAAATTAAAATCAATTAGAAAAGAGTTTAATGAAATGGATGAAATAAAATTTGATCCTTTGACAATTACCACAGCAATTCATCCAAGTGCAGTATATACTAGTAGATTATTAAATTTACAAGCCTTCCCCAACCTGTGAATTCCAATAAAGTAACAATTATTGGTAATAATAATGGTAATTATTAACATTTAATTATTTTCACTTTTATTAATTTTTAAAATTTATAATATTTATTAATTATGATAAATATTTTTTTAGATTCTCAACAGATTGAATTAACTATCCCAGATGGATTACCTGAATAAGTTAAATCTTTGTCATTTTATTATGTATTAAAATTATTTTATTTATTTGGCTATTATATTTGTGATATTAAATATCTTGAGTATAGATAATTGGTTATTTATATTTAATAGTGATATTATATAAAAGTAATAACTTCTCACAATTGTCATATCTTTGGAATTTTTATTATCTTGAAATTTGGATGTCAAATATGCACATTCAATAATTTTATTGTTGTATGATTTTTAGATTTAAAATTCTGTTTATTTTATTTAAAGTAGTGATTTATTTATTTTTATGAGAAAAATATTTTATTTATATATTAATGTTAGATGCAAAATCTATATATACAAAGTTTCACATAATAGATATTTGGAAAATTTTACAATTCACCATACATTATTTGGGGCATACTGCAATAAAACCAGACAAAGTGAATATTTGTATTACCAAGGATAATCACCAATGTAACATGATTTAACATGCAAATTATGGAAGCTTACGGACATCAGCATGATTGTAAACTAAAGCATGCTTTATGGATTTGATCATGTTAGCAAGATTGATCTATGAACATGTCAAACAGGAAAATTCTGCAATCTTGATTATGGGCATCTTTGTAAATTAATCTAGATGTCTGACTTTTTGTAAAAAATTAATATTTTCCTCTTACAAAATATATATATATATATATATATCTTTTTAACAATGGGATTTTCTGATGTAGCTGAATCAACGAATTAGAAAAAAGGATTACCTGGACGAAACCTGACATTCTGTTTGCTAAACAGATTAATTTCGTAATTTAATCCAATTTAGTATATATAATCTTGAGACATTTAATTAAATTTAATATTGATCAAAATTAATTTATGAAGACATCCTATATAAAGCCAATGATGGATAACATTATCAATTAATTAATAAATTAATAATAGTAGTAATTAATAATCATAATGATTTTGTTAGACTATTTTAATTTTGAAGGTAAAAATACATTTCTGATTTTAATAGCACTGCTACATAAAATCATTGATACAACGTCTTTTGACTGTCATTAGCAATTATAAATAACCTATTCTAAAAATTTTATTTACGTAGAATCTCTGGGTGTTGATTTTAACAATACAAAATAATGGTTTTTCCGATTCTTTCTCAGCTGATTCTTTTTTATGTTCTCTACTAAAACGTGCTATCCAATTTTTACCTTTGGCAACTCATTTGCATCCAACTCATCTGTTTCTATTCTTTGTTTTAGATCTGTAAGCATTTCTTATCTACTACAAGCATGTAATTCCTATGACCAGATGTTCTGTCTCGGTACACTGCTTCCGTGAAACAAGGAAACGGACATTGAAAGTGACAAGAGGAGTGATAAAGACGTGGACCATGACGAATAAACTTCTTACCGGGACTATAAACAAATACTTTGACAGACCTCCTTCAAGAGGTGAGAATGGAGAACCTGTCACAAAAAAGCAAATCATCCGGTCAAAATATAAGTATGAGTCAAGAAGCTGAAAATCTTAACATGCTAATTTTTGACCACCTTCATTTCGATGAAACCTGCACCCAATAATCTCAAATAGTGTAGATGCGTTAGATTTGGGATCCTGACAAAAAAATCATTCATAGGCTTTCACGTGATGTTCTTGAACAACAAATTGTTTAACGAGAATACATGCAATGAAACCATTGGTGTTGTGACAAAGGTGATCGATGACTAAAATTTCAAAGTGACGTTTTCAACCCTGACAAGTATAAGCAAAATAATTGTGCAAAAGGAAGCTTACCATTTTGAAATTGATTTGCTTTGACAGTTCACAAGACCCAAGGCTTTAATCTTACCGTACATGATGTTAAATATTGATAAAAACGTGTTTGTGTAAGGTCGGGTGTACATTGCGATGAGCCGAGCCGCTTCGCTGGATAAGTTGCACATCCTGGGCTTTGATTATTCTCAGCTGAAGGTCCCTAGAGCAGCTTTAGAGGAGTATAAAAGATTAGAGTTGTGAACAGCAATGGATTGCAATCGTCGCAATCGTTACAAATAATAATACCAATAACAATTAATAATAACCGCTTGTCCTCCCTCCTTGGTGATTGTCTTAAAAAAAAAGGAACATAAATAATCGTTATAAATGATAATACCAACAACGATAATAACAAAATTGCTTGTCCCCCCCCTCCTTGATGATCGATCATCTAAAAAAAGAACATGTATGTATATATTTCTGTTGAAATTTAAGTGAAATATGTATGATCCTAGTATATTAATCGCCGATTATCCAATCATTGAATATTTTCAACATTCGATTAATCGGTATCAAAATCACATGAAGTTTCGTAGCGCAGCAATAAGAGTGCCAACCATAGGTAAGATATTCACGTTCAACAAAAAATTTCAAACACAAGAAAAAATAATGAATGCCAGGGATTTGGACATCATGCATTTGAACACAGAGAAGCTTTAATGGGATCTTCAAAAAATGAAGAAAGCCCGATGTAATCAATTCGCTCCATTGGGATTCAGCTTTTAATACCTTAGCAAAAGGAAGAGTTAGAATGGTTACAATACTTTAAAACAACTTTAATAATCAAGGCTAAATAAAAAAACTTCAAGAAGTATTGTTTATTATCAATTCTTTCATAATAAATAGTGTGTACAACTTTCATTTGAAACATGTGTTTGATTATGAGGCACAGTGGTTATACAAGCCCAAAACATAAAAGCTAGATTGGCATCACCGACATATTTTTTAATAAACATAAAACTCTTGAAAAAATCTTTTATTAAGAATAAGTATGTTTCAGCTCTTATTATGCTTTATGTGGCTACAGTGCTGTATTACAGCAAAAAAAAACCGAATCTATTTATATCTATGAGAAGATGAATAACATAAATTATTATTATTATTATTATTATTATTATTATTATTATTATTATTATCATTATTATTATTATTATTATCTAAATTGAACCTAATTTATACAATTCTAATAACAATAGATTAAAAAAAATTTTTTTAATAGATGATTGGTGGTCTTGGTGTTGGCATGATTGATGATGATGGTGATGGTGATGATGTGGAGGATGAAAACATCATATTTGGATGAAGTTGTGCTTTAGTTTGTAAATAATTGAAATTTTTGTTTTTGTTATTTGATGTTGTTGTTGACAATGATGATGAGTCATCCCAATCTTGGATAAAAATCATAGGAACATCATCCCTGTGGTTATCATCTGCCCCTAAATCATTTGATATAATTTTTAAGATTGGTATTTTTGAAGTTGTGGTAGTCGTTGATGGTGGTGGCATAAATTGTAGACTTTTCTCATTATTATTATCATCGCTATTATGACCATTGTCTAAGGAAAAATCTTCTATTTTGTCTTCGTAAATGATATCAACACCATTACTATTGCTATTATTTAAACAAATATTTACAAGTGTGTGTGTCAAATCATCAGCTAAAGTTTTTTCATTCGGGCCTGTTTCGTGTGTTGGGGTCCAGCCAAACGGTGGTGATCCTGGTGGTGAAATCAACCAATTTTTTTCTAATTTTGGTATGTTAAGATGTTTAAATGAATCTGTTTCATCAATAACCGGTGTATGCTAATAACGTTAATAAAAAATGCATGTATTATTAATATAATCTATTTAACTAATTAATTTAAAAAAAAATTTGTTATTCTTCTCACCTGTCCGTAATAAACACGAACAACTTTATCCATAAAAATCATTCTATCAGAATAGGCTTTAGCTGTTTTTGCATCCGAAGTTTGAAAATAAATCACCAACATACGATTAAATGATTTTATTGGAATGAATTTATGAATTGATCCATATTGTTCAAAATTTGCTTTAAGTTCCACAAAATTTTCAGGTAAAAAAACTGGACGGTCAAGATTAGTGACTATGAGCGTGTTGGTTGCTGTAATTTCTGAAGAATGTGGTGATGAAAGAGCACTTGGAGACATTTCTTTAAAATATTAAAACAATAAATTCCTGTAGAGATATTTTTTAACATATATATTAAAATTTTTTTTGAAAAAATTTTGTTATATAAGAGAAAAGTCGTATATTTTGTATTTGCGAAAGTATAATTAAGACACTTACGTCAAACTTTTTCTACAAGATTGTTCTCTAAAAAGCCAAACTAAATTATTATTTATAATAAAATGTAAAAATTGTGTAACAAAAAATAAATTCATTATTTGACCCCTTTCCAGGGCAGGTTTTCCAGAAATTCCTAATTTTTTGACCGGCTCTTCCAATTTTTACCGGAATTTTGAATTATTTTATTGTGAAACCAACCATATTATTTGATGATTAACCTTTTCTTTTACATTTTTATTCCAAATAATAAATGATTACAAATCTTCTCGAGCAAATTGATTTTTTCTTTTATGCTGGATATGGTCATAATGAAGCCATATTCAGATAACCATTTTTGCTTGAAACTATTGATTTTTATTTTTTTATTCAATTGATTTAATTTTCATTTTTATAATTCAATTCAACATGTTCAGCATCAAAAGTACTATTAATAGAATATTCTTCTGGACTTCATGACCGGTAAAATTTATTATTATTATTATTGCTTCTGGTAAATTGGCATTTTTTCTCATACTAGCAAAGTTACACTAAGACTATCCTGATATTTTTAGCAAAAAATCCCAGACCTTTTTAAGAATTTCTGGTATTTAAGTTACGACAAGGCAGGCTAGTACACACTCGCACAGCATAATAATAAGTTTCGAATTGAATGATAGTGATGATGATGATGATGATGATAATAATGATAATAATAATAATAATAATAATAATAATAATAATAATAACAATAATAATAATAATAATAACAACAACAGGTTGAATTCGAATATTATTTTGAATATTCGATTCACAATTATTTATTGTTTTATTGTACATTTAATTACAAAAATTATTATAGATCATAAAAAAAAATATGGTTAAATACCATTGAGATTTTGAGAAGACATTTTACTTTGGCTTGGCTTGTTTTTTAATCTTTATACTATTTCCAAAATAAAGCCGTTATAAGGTTTACCTTTTTTCATCAAATTTTCTTTCGTTAGTGGTTGATGATTCAGAATTGCTTATTGAGTATTCTGTCTAAGTTGGTTCATCTTCTTCTGATCTGTAAATATACATGAGATGGTAATTGCCTAATTACCATAAATACGTAATACGTAATTATTGTAATTAATTACCACTATCCTCTTTAAAACGTAATTACGAAATTAATTACGGGCGACGAAACTAATTACAAATAACAACAAATTAATTATCGGGAATATCATAATACAAGTCATTCCCGTTATAACGACACTCTCCGTGCAAGCAAAAAATGTCAATATAACGAGACGGTCCCGTTTACTTCGTCGAAAATCATTTCGTCGACACCCATTTCGTCGAAAGTTTGTTTCGTCGAAAGTTTGTTTCATCGAAAGTTCATTTCGTCGAACATCAGGAAAATAAATCTCATGTAAACCTACGCAGGGTTTAAAACTGACCAGCATTATGCGGAAATGTTAACAGAAT